AAGTGTAAAGATCTAAAATACCTAAAAAAAATGAAAACTTATAATAAAATAAAAGTAAAGTATGGGGATTCAAAATTATATTTTTTTTCCTTAAACTTAAAAGAAAATGCTACCCATGCTTAGAAGACACAGTGCATAACTTACATCTTCGTATGTACTTTTTTTATTTATTATTATTATTATTATTATTATTATTATTATTATTATTTTTTATACTTTTCATAGAACCATTACCGCTAACATGGTAAGGGGATGACTTGGCATCTGCCGTTGGTTCTTCTTCTGAGCCAATCACTGGCATGCATTGTACTCGGGAAGCTTTTTCTAGAACGAGTCGGGGGACAGTCTTCGTTCTCTTGCACCATTTGCACGAAGCCATGGTTGATAAAGTGACTCTGTTTCTGTAACAATTTTTCCTTTTTCTTTTTAAACTTCCAAATCCAGATGGACCAAGCTTCAGTTATTAATGGAAACTCCAAATCAGAATTTGGTGTCAGAGCTGGGACATACAATATATCTTATATACTTAACATCTTTTTATTCAATCAAATTAAGACATGCAAATTTTAATATCTTAATAATATTAAGGGTTAAATGACAATTTAATGTCTTAATAATATTAAGAACTCTCCGTCGTTGCACTTCTTACTGCATCCCCCACAGCTTCTTCTGTCAAACGAAGCATTCGCACACTGTCCCTTGCAACAAATCTCAGTGTACTAGCACTTATTCCCACACTTCCCACTCTTCACATTCACACACTTGTTCTTGTAGCAATCTGCCCCTCCACTTCTCTTTAAACGAAACCCTCTGGGAAGCTTGTCGCACGACGTCTTGTTATAATAATACTTCTCAACAAAGAATCCCCTCACTGCTCTCAAGTCGTCGTCTTCTTTCTCTTGCGTTTTGAACCCTGCAATGTCGTTTGCTACTGCAGATGAAGAAGAACCAAATACGAGATCATCATGGCTATAGATGTGATGATTGATGAAGCTTGCGTGTTGGAATTATTGGAGGCTTTCTTTTGTGTGTGTGTGTGAGAGAGAGAGAGAGAGAGACAGAGAGAGAGAGAGAGATGGTTGACAAGAAGAAAATGGATTCTCAAGGATCGGTTTTTTCTGGGGAAGTGTTAGCTCATGATACTGATCGAATCATTTGAGAAGACTAAACGGTGACGAAGAAGAGCTGGAGAAAAGAGCTCAGGACAGTCCCGAAGAAAAATCGGAGGTTGATGACAATTGTGGCAAGGAAGGTGAGATAAAATGTGGGCCCCACTATTGAGTTAGTTGCAAATTAATCGTGGGGCAAGATTGATTTAATTGTTCAAGTTTAAAATATTTTAAGTATAAGTTTGGGATTTAAATTGCTAATAACTTATAAGTCGGATTACATAAGTTGGTCCAAATAACTGGTTATATGAATTTGGTTAGAAAAAAATGAACTTAAAAACAAGATTTTCCTGGTGCGGACCAGATTAGTCGTGAATCATAATAGCTAACCCTGATGGGTTAAGGTTGAGCCATTTAATTCATATTATTTTTAAAAAATATTAAAAAAATTAAAAAATGAAAGAATATTGTAGATTCATAACTTTTGATAAATAGATGGGCATGGTTTAGATGACTCAATTCGTATATTTTATACAAATATTATGGGTTAATATTTTGGTGAATCTAGAACGAATCATGACATAAATGAATATTATATTAAAATTCACCATCATTTTCATTTAAGTGTATTTTTAACAATTTATAAAAAATTAAATTGAAAAATAAAATAAAATGAATTGGTGGGTTAACTCATTTAATTTGCAAGCCCTCAAAGGTCGTATAAAAATAGATTGAATCTAACTCAACTTATATTTTTCTAACACATGGGCCAACCTAAACCATTTGGGTTGGCCCATATTCCTAACTCTAATAACTTAGAATTCAAATTGTCATTTAACCCTAATATTAATAATGTTTGGATTTGACTCATATTTTTAACTCTAATAATTTAGGATTCAAATTGTTATTTAACCCTAATATTAATAATAAGAATTTGTTATTAAATAAATAATATATAAAAATTTATTTAATTAAAACAAATACTTGATGAGTATATAATTTTTTTCTAATTAACGCAACTTTCTCAATTGAACATACTGCCACCATTTTGGCAATTTCCAACTACGAATAATAGCAAACAAGTTGCATGCATTGAAGAAACATAGAGCCACAAATATGTATTTTATGTATCTTCTCTTCTTTAAAACAACGTCTCATGTTTGCAAACATCGAAACCGTTACAATCATAGAATAATTTGCAAGAGATAATTTCATGGGTAACAAAATCTCTTTTTTTTTTCTTGCCAAAAAATCAAATACAGATAAAACTAAAACGCCTCCTATCTTGATTTAATAGCGTTATAATTTTTAAAACACACTATAGGCGTTATAATTGGTGTAAATATAGGAATTTAAATTTCTTATTTTCTACATGTGCATGTTTACACACACACATCACCTTCACTATAAAAGACCCATATTCACACACGTTACCTATACACCTATTCACACCAAAAAACTATATGCAATATATGTATTGAAACATATATCTAGGAAAGGGTGAACAGTTGTTTCTGCAATTATATTATTCAAATACAATTAATTCTAAAAAATGTTTGCAAAAGTTAATTATACATTAATACAACAATAAATAATGCAGAGTTTAATTCTATGACTATAACAAATTAATAAGTAGAGACTTGGAAATAAAATCAGCTAGCTAAAAGTAAAATAGATAGAAGCAAAGAATAAATATATAGAGAGAAGACCCAAAAAAATCACACAAAACAACTATATTAATTTGACTCTCTTTGACCTAGGTCAAGTCCTCTTGAGCCCAACCATCAAAACAATTATAATGGTTGGTTTCCAATCTCACTATCAACTTATACAAGAGATTTATAAGTTTACCAACAACTTCAAGGTTTTCTTTTCCTTTTTTTTTTTTAATTCCATCATTCAGTATCCTAAAAAACCTAGAGTATTACCACTTCTTGCCTAAATTAATTCAAACCCTCATTGTATGGGATCATAATTACCTATGGTGGCCTCACTAGTATTTTGAGAATACTTTAAGCATATTTATTTAATACGACTGCATATTTTAAGATTTGAACTTGAGACCCTAGGATATGCCAATTCAACTCACTTTTGACTTACTTCTCTCACAATGTAAGATTCACACAATATGAAAATTTAGACCTATATATAGAAGAGATACTCTCAAGCTCAAGTAAGTAGACCATTATCCTAGAAATAATGAGTCAAACTAGTATTTGCGGTGAATCCCCTATTAAGTAATCATGCATAATGGTGGGAACCCTCAATTCTCACTGGAAAGATGAACCATATACAAGTACAAGAAAAAGGAACAATATATTTTATCTCCCCTCAAAATTTAAGATAGTTACTGTGTTGATGGAACATAATTCATTATTGCTTGAAGTTTGTTGTGTTGCAGGAGACACAGGAGCTGTTTGAAATTATTTTTATTTTATTATTTTGAGAATTAGTATTTTATAAAATATGTTTTGAAAATAAAAAAATGCAAATATGTGTTTTTCTCATTCTCATTTGTTTTCCAGAACAATAATTTTAGAATACCTCAAAATTGTTTCTATTTTTCTATTCTTAAAAATAATATTTATTTTTTATTTTTCAAAATATTTTTTAAAAATACGTTATCAAATATATTTTTTTATTTTTTTATTTTGAAGAACATAAAACTATTTTTAAAATAAGTTTTCACATAGGCCCATAGTTTGCCTGAGGATGAATGCAAGTCGGCTTGGGGGAGGAATATCCACAATCTCACTTTGAAGCATTGACACTATGGAGGCCATAATGGGCCTATCTTTTGCAAGTTATTGCACGCATAGAAGACCAATATGTGTGCATCTCAATATATCATCTTGAAAGCTTGGATCATATATTTGTGGATCTATTAGAGGTATAACATTGGCATTGATCCATAATTTCCATGCCTGCGTTCTCCAAAATTTCCATGCCTAGAAAAAACAACAAAAATGATAGCAATCAAACATCATTGTATTCGTTAAGAAAAAGGCAATTAAGAGCTGTTGCAAGAAAGAAATGTACAAATTGGAGACTTATAAAGCCTAAAAGTGTGAAAGATTATGCATCTTCATAAATGCTAGTTTTTTTTTCTTTCAATAATAATCTCTAACAACAAAACACCAAAGCTAAATACATTAGATTTCTCTTAATAGAGCCCTTCAGTTGCATATTTTGGAGAATTGTATCCATTGCATTTAAACAATAAATTGTTGAGCTTTTCATATGCTATTGATACTATTATCTTTTAAAAAGACTTGCTACGTTCTGATAATTCTTTTTGTATTTGCTTGATCTTGACCATCTTCAAAAAGTTTAACCATCCAAAATTTGATATTTTTTGGATTCATCCCTTTATTTAATAATATGTTACTAGCCTTCAAATCTCTATGTATAGTTCTTAATCTTGAATCTCTAAAGATAAAGTAATCTTCTAGTTCAATTATATTGAAGCGTCTTCCCCAATCTACATATTTTTGTTGCAGTGGATCTGTAAAAAGATTATTTTAGGGAGGAAAATGACGAAAGAAGGCAAACAAGTTCCAAAAAAAAGAAAAAAAAAATTCTTCAACACTTTCAACAACTGCCAGTAAATGGTTGTGGTATTTGCCTACTTGCAATTGTGACTTAGTTGCCTGTACCTTAACTATTACTCTATAAAATAAACCATATAAAATGTTCGTACCGGCCTCCATCAAACATGCAACATCAAGAAAGTACGAAAGCATGCGTGTGCTAAGAAACATTGGAAGCATTGTTACAAATGTCAGCCAAGTGTTATGTCAGGTAAGTTAAGTGTTGTACGGCAAACATGTGTTTCTTTTATATATTCATTAACACTATAAAGTTTCCTCTTTTTCCGCAATTCCTCTCATGTAAAGCACAGGAACATCCAATTCACTAAAATATGCAGAGGAATATACACTAACCAAAAGTATATGCATCCAAACTTTTGTTTGGCATGTATTCATAAACTAATATCTTTTCATCTCCTTCAATGCAACAACCAAGAAGTCTAACAAATTTTTGGTGTCGAAGCTTAGAAATTAACTCCACTTTCTTAATAAATTCTTCAATACCCTGCCCAGATGATCTCGATAGTCTTTTCACTGCTATTTCTTGTCCATCTTCAAACTTTCCCTGAAATAAAATGATATCTACCTTCTACCAAAAAAAACATGATATTTACATAGTTTCTTATGACTTGTAAAAAGATTAACTTTACAAAAATTGAAAACCACCTTATAAACTGGACCAAATCCTCCCTGCCCAAGTTTATTTGCTAAGTCAAAGTTGTTTGTTGCAATTGCCAACTTTGTAAAATCAAACAAAGATAGGTCTTGATTATGAGATTGCTTCAGGTTTGAAATCTGCATCTGCATCTGCATTTCCCCTGTTTTGTACACATTTTTCCTTTTAATTTCATTAAGAAACACATTGTTATTCGAATACTAGGTTACCAGAGCTATGAATTAACTATTTGCTTTTCTGACATTATCTGTGTCAAAATGCAAAAAATCAAATGCTCACAAGATTTTCTAAGATTTCGAAGTATATTTGTATCCTATATATCTAAATGATTTCACAATAATTTCTACCCTCAAAAAATTATTATAAAGTGATGAGATAAATAGACGTTTTCAATGACCTTTCCCTCCCGCCTCCCCTCTCTCTGCACTCCTAGATTTCTTGTATTTATTGCAAGTGCTTAACAGTCAAACACAAAATAATTGATTCCTTGAATGAACTCTTACAATAAAACTGATTAGCCGAACATCACCTTTTTGGTTTGACTTTTTTTTTTCCCCATAAGAAATATCCACAGGCCATAATGAGAATGGTTCCTACCAGAGCTGATATTATAATAGGTGTTGTCATTTTCCTCCTGGCCCTACCTGTATCTGTATCATAGAAAAGAAGAGTAATCAGATAGTCCTCATGTTCTGACAATATGCTCAACACTACTGCATATGTTGTCATCAAAAGAGGTTTAAAACAAAATGAAGTTCCCCAAGTATCCTTGAAAGACAAATGACACCACATGTTATAATTCTATTGAGGAACCTAATGAACATTTAACAACATCAATCGCACATGGGCTAAGTACCATTGTTCGCATGGATATTTAACATGACATGATATGATGAAATAGACAATGCTTAAATTACATTTGAAGCTTTGTTTTCAAATCCTATTTTGTTGTCAAATACATGTTGGACAGAAAATAAGTATGTTAGTGTTTCAAAGAGCTTTAACTAAGAGAGATGCCTAGTTCTTAGTAGACCAAACGTATGTAAAGATCAAACCCACCAACTGGGAAGTTCTGTGTATCAAGTAAATCTACATTCCAAACCATACAGCCAAGGCTTCTGTCATAGGCATAAGCTATACAAGAGCAATGCTTCAGGCATCGAGTTTGGCAATCTGCAATTTGCTGATCAAACTTAGAAGAAAAAACTTCTGCATGATCTGGTAGTTTTACCCTCTCCAGCTTCAAAAATCCATCTGGTTTGCTATCTTGAGAACTATTTTTGTCTCCATCACACTGAAGTGCTTCTCTTCTCACGCACCCACTAGTCCAGTTCTGCCTTCGCCATTCTTCTTTGTTCTTCGGTTCAAACCCTCTCAAGCAGGTGCAGATTGGTGAGCTTAAAGAATTGCAGATCCCGGATCTGCCACATTTGCCATAAACATCACACTCGGAATTCTCACTTACCCATTCACGTTCCCATGTATTTGTCTGGGAATTCCAACATTGTTTCTTTAGTTTACCTTTATGACGTAACTTAAGAGTTAGCCAAGTAGACTTGTGTGAGTAATGAAAATATAGGTCGAAACTTCCCTCCCTCTCCTTTCATCTGAAACCCATTTAGGGAGATAGATGAACTCTTAGGCAACCCAAGAAAGTGTGTGCCATTCCAGGGGCCACTACGCCAGTAAGGATAATTTTCTTTCCAAATAAACACTTCAGTAACATTACGAGGTTCAAGGCCGCAAGAGAATCCTCCATAGGATGGATCAGATGTACTTTTCCATGATGTAAGTTGCATTTTCTTGCCTGCTTTTTGGTTAGTACTGAATTTCACGTCTGCTAATAATGTATTATCAGGATGCTGGAAACTCTACCAAAAGAATGCTCCAGTAGTTCTATCAATAAGGACAAGGTGGTCAGAATCCAAGAGTTAAGCACTAGAATTTGATGCCATAGTGACATTTGATGACCAAACAACTTGTTTTTTCCCATTCAAAACGACAAGATTGCCATTCTCTGACATTGTGAGAATATTCCCAAAAGAATCTGTTAGTGGGTCGTTTTTGTCAGCAATCCAAACAACAGAGGATTCAGACATAAACCAAATTCCCAAGTAGCGACTCGTGGAATTCCGAGGTCTGAAGAATCCCAGCGTGAACATGCGATTATTTGAGCCCACTGTTTCAGGTTCTTGGATCAACACAGGTGGTGCCATAGGGTCCAAGGCACTGGCCAGAACAGTAAAGGTGAACAAATATATGGAAAAGCAAGTAACAAGCAAGCATTTTCACTGAATCTCATGAAAAGGATGACGACTATCGGAGATGGAGGGAGAAAATGGGTTTAGTTATCCAACACTGCAAGCAATGCTAGTATATAGTATGACATAATATAATATATAGAATTTCGAACTACCTAATTATTCGTAAACTATGACTGCATATTGGGCAAAAATTGAAAAAAAAAATGTAAAAGAAAAAAACTGCAAAAATTCGGAATGCTCGAAAGGACAGTCAGACTTCTAAGACGGCCGAGCCAATTTCTCTTCATAACGTCCAACAATTGAATTGAATCCTCATATTCATCGATCTTTAGTCTTCTAAACAAGGTGTGTACAATAGAATTTTTGAAGCATACCTGTGATTTTCTCGTATTTATTTTTGTCTCTGCCCCATATTCCTAAAATTGAAGGTAGCAGAAAAGGTTCGGTCTTTTCTGGTCCCAAAATGATAATAAAAACGGCTGTCTTTTACACAGCCAAAAGGGGGAAAAAAATCTAATGTCCAATTTTTTTTAAAAAAAACTAATAATTATTGTTTGTACGTGTTTTCTCTCTGTTTAATATTTTTTTAACCAGTGTTTAATTTAATATTTGAAACATACTCATTATTTTATTATATACTTACACTTGTGAATTTGGAGATCCAAATTTAGATATGTGTGTATTGGAAAAATTAGATTCAAAGGAAAATAGGTAAAAGTGAGGAAGGATTTGGACAACCTTTTTTAATTTTTTGTCTTCTGTTTTTGTTTTTTTGTTTTTTGGCTTTTTGTTTTGGGTGTGGGGTGAGGTAAACTAACCTCATGACTCAAGTCACAAAGCACAGACTAAAATTTTAATCCAGTTTTCGGGTCAATGAAGCAAAACCTTTTGCCCAAATATTGCTTTTCTAATAGAAGAGACTTATATTTGACCTTAAATTAATACTCCAATCATAATCATTAGATAAGGTATGCATTTTTCTAATTTTCATTTTTTTTAGCAAATTTCAATTTTGATTTAAACATTGGGTCTTTATTTTTTCTAGTATAAATATGTAGAATTGAAAATAATACTTGTAGCATTGAACGTTTCTTTATAAAAAGATTAAGGCTTCATTTGTTTCACAAAAAGCATTTTGATGGAATTGAAATTAGAAGTAAAATTGGAACAAACTAGGGTAAAAAAAAAAGAACTTAATTTAAAAATATATTTAATATGATTGATACAAATTGAAATTAACTTTTTCTGTATATGTATTTAGAATAAGAAAAAGATAATATTACCGCGTTCACATTTGATGCTCATCACAATGATGAGCACCGAATGCTCATTAGAATCAGGATTCCTACCTCCATTTTAACCTTATTTAATCCCTGTTGTTTATTTAAATTAATTTTTTAAATACTTTTAATATTGTATTTATTAAAAGAAAAAATATGAAAAATTTTAATATTAAATCTGAACTATTTATAATACATTTAATTTGTAAAATTTATAAATTTTTTAATATTAAATTAGTTTATTTAAATTGTACCTGAATTGTATAAAATTTATCTGTATAGTCAAATTGTAAAATTATAAATTTTTTAATATTAAATTAGACTTAGATTAAATCTGCATTGACCAAATTAATAATAAATAAATATATTAAAATTTTAAAATTTTTATATTTTTAAATTAATAAATATAATATTAAAAATATTTAAAAATTAATTTAAATAAATAATAGGGATCAAATAATTTGAAATAGAAGGTCAGGAGCGATGAGCACCGGGCAGTCAACACAAATGATGAGCACCAAATGCAATTAATATTACCTTTATTTCTTTCACACCATCCTTGTCTCCTCTCTCTCACACGCCCGTGGTCCTCCACCGTTCCTCTCTTCTAATCAGACTTTTTAGGTCTACAGTAATCAACAAATCCTACACTAACCAACACTCATATTCAAACAACTTCTAAAAAAAAATCATATTATAAATCACAAATCAGGGGGGAAAAAGAAGACAAAATTGGTGAAAGTAAATGGAAATGTCAAGATCTGGAGCAAATAAAGCTAATCGAACATGTCACCCCGCAAAAAAAAAAAAAAAAAAAAAAGGCTAATCGAACAACTTCTATCATGGAGCTTCCATGTTCAAGTATGCTAGCGACTGATAAATCTGGTGAACAGTGACAATAAATCTGGTGATTTTGAATGACGATGGATGCGGTGGATCTATTGTCAAAGTGAACAAAATGGAGGGAGGCCAGCAACTTTCTTCGATGGTCTTCCTCACTGAAGGTGATGGTGAAGAAGCGGAGGAGCAGAGACACTGTTGAAGGAGGCGGAGCCAAAACTGATTTGCACGCGCGCATCACCCCATGAGTATAAGGGCTAGAACAATCCTAGCCTTCAATTTCAACCTAAATCCGTATATTTAAATTAATTTTTTAAAATTTTATTATTATGTTTATGAATATAAAAATATAAAAAAATTTAAATTTTAATAAATATATTCATTACCTATCTAGGCTGTGCAGATTTAATTTAATAGTTTAATTTAATATTTAATTTTTTTATAATTTTACTATTTGATTATCTAGATAGACTCTCAACAATTCAGATATAATTTAGATTATCTAATTAATATTAAAAATTTATAAATTTTATAAATTAACCATTTAATTATATTCTAAATAGTTCAGATTTAATATTAAATTCTTTTCTATCTTTTATCTTAATAAATATAATATTAAAAATATTTAAAAATTAATTTAAATAGACAATAAAAATTAATTTGAACTGAAATGGAGGGCCAAGAGACGAGCATTTAGTGCTCATCACAGTGATGAGCACCAAATATCGTCACAGCCAAAACATGTGGCAAAGGAGTCCAATAAGTTCTTCAAGGGATCATTCTTCTTCTTCACTCAGTGCTATTATGGCATTAAATGAGGCTAAATTTATGGAACTTAAAATCAGGGTGTTACCTACTCTGTGTGACAAACCTACTAACTACTTTATCTATATAGTTCCTTTGTGATAAACTAACAATACCCCAAGTACAGTCTTGATGTATCTTGATTCTTGATACAAAAGATGCTTCATCAAGATCTTTTATTTCAAAATTTCTTAATAGAAAATTTTTAGTATTATTTAATAACCCTTTATCATTAGTGGCAAGTAGTATGTCATCTACATACAAAACCATGAATATGAAATTACTCCAACTAAACTTTTGATACACACAATTATCAACAAAGTTTGTCCTAAAACCAAATGAAATAATAACTTGACGAAATTTGTAATAATATTGTCAAGAAGCCTATTTGAGACTATTGATAGATTTTCTTAATTTTCAAATCATTTTCTTTAAATCTCCTAACACAGTTTTATTGTTGCATTATATAAATTGATTCATCAATGTTACCATTGAAAAACATTATTTTGACATCCATATGATAAAGCTAAATGTCAAAATATGAAACTAATGCCATGATTACTCTAAAAGAGTGTTTTGAAGAAACCGATGAGAAAGTCTCTTTATAATTAATCCCTTCTTTTTGAGTAAAGCCCATTGCCATAAGATGTGCTTTGTACCACTACACATTACCATATTTTCTTTTAAATATCCCTTTGCAACTTGTCACATTTCGATACTAAAGGTATGATTGGTATAAAATATGAGATGAACTCATATTTCATAAGCCTTAAATAGCTAGCGGTTAACCTAAAATATTGGTATATAAGTTATATACATTAAAGTTCGTAACGTTTCAAATGTTTTGTAAAAATTTTAGCAGAACCTCCTTTATAAATTGAACCTCCCAAAATTTTTATAATAACAAACTTGTCAACAAAACCAGCAAGGAGACTAGCTCTATTCTAGCAAATTATATACCAACAAAATAAGATTAGAACCTAACTACAATATACGCGAAGCATTAAATTATAATCATATAATACAATATAAGTTTTCACCAAAGAGATGACCAAAATGTGCTTTCACTGTCCAAAAAGCTATGGGCCTCTCAATGATAAGTAGGAGGCACAGGGTCAACTATAATATCTAAGATCAAAGAAATTTTTGTGAGTAGTGTTCTAATTAAAATTATAATTAAGAAAATTATGAAGCTAGAACTAATAAATTTAGTTTAAAATAATTTTATAAAATAATGAAACATATAATTGACCTATCAATAAAGAATAATTCTTTCTCAATAATAAAATTATAAAATTAAACAATACTAATAAAGCAAAACACATTTATCAAGATTTGTACAGCTCATAGAATATAAAAATTTCAAGTAATGGTACAATTAGGTAGAATAGTTTTAGAAAATTTATGGAAATGATAAATTTGAATTTGAATTTAAGAGGGTTTTGTCATAATGAATAACAAGCGCGGACACATAGTACATGAGGGTAAATAACCAATCAAACGTAGATTCACAGTTTACGAGGGTAAATAATCAACAAGTGTGGCTTAAAGCCACAAAATAATCAAGCGCGGCTAGAAGCCACGAAACAAGCACAAACATGAAGCCCACGAAATAAGCGTGAGTACAATACTCACGAATATTCATCCCTTTGTTTCATGTGTGTTGGCCAGCGTATGGGGTTAGCACCTCCTACAAGTACTGTGCTAGTTGGGTGTACTATGGCATGCCAATGACTAATAAAATTGCCGTTAGCAACCAACATTCTGAACTCAATCCTCCTAATAAAAATCAAGCGTGCATAGAGTAAGAAAGCAATTTTAAAGCTTTCATCTTCAACCATACTATTTTATTATCAATTCTCACTGCTCAGACTCATTTTTCAAATTAAACATGAAATTAAATAATTAAACCGCAATAACATAAACTATTAATGAAATCAAGATATGATCATCAATAAAAAATTATTATAAAAATTGAATTGAAAAGAATATTAGTACAATTTACAAGGAAATAATATTAAAATTCAAATAAAAAATTATTTTATAAAAATATTATTAAAAATTTATTTAAAATGCTGCTCACTTCAACCACCATCATTAGTATAATTTATTTCGAGCCTGACACAATTTATATGAAGACAAATATTTGTTCAATTTACATATATAATTCCTTTAAGCTCTGCTCTAAAATTTAACAATCTTATTTCACCAGTTTTTTTTTTTTCAAACATCCCTACAAATATTACAAGAACATTCACAATTAACTAAAATCAATAATTTTTAACGTCTAATTTCTTCACCAAATTTTTCAGCTCAGCATAATAATAAAGTAGCATCCAACATTAACCAAAATAACACCTAAGTTTTTGTACAAATCTCATGACAGAAATATTGAAGAACAGAGCACTATCCTCGGCCAAAATATTGAAGAATGATCCACGTAGTAATTGAAATCGAAGGAGAAAAAGGAAGAATCAGTGTTTTTACCTCTACCAAAGTGCAGTGGGAGCTGTCACATTTTAGCTGATGGACCACCGAAGAAGAGGAGAATAATTTCGCCCAGCTGTTCTTCGAAGAGGGTGAGAAGTAGAAATCACTAACCAACAAAAAGGAAAAATTTAACCTTATAATACACACATACAAGGACGTTTAGCAGTTGAGGAGGAAGGAAGATGAAATCTAAATTCACACACACACACTCACCACCGACAGCCCACAGTAGAGAAGTAAGGGAAGAAAAATTGCAATCACTCACTTTCCAGTGGCGGACGGACGACAGTGGGGAAAGGAACGAAAGGACGACAGTGGCGTTGAGCAGAAAAATGAAGAACAAAGGCGAGGAGGAGAGAAGACCGAGAACGTGTGAAGATCTCTCTGTTTCTGGCGGTTCTGGAGCTTAAATCGCGGAGGAGAGAAGAAAAATTTAAGTATGAAGAAATTGGGACAATTTACTAAAGAGAGCACAGTGAAATTACAAAAGAGAGCACAATGAAAATGATAAAAAAGGCACAATTTTTTGATAATTTAAAACATAATAAAACTAACTTTTGCTTAATAGAATTTGAACTCTAAATCTTTAAGAAAATTATTAGCATAAGTTTCATTAAACTACCAATCTCTAGTTGTTATAAAATTAATTTAAATAAAATACCAATTGAAAGAAGTTTTTATTTATTCATTTATTTTAAAATTTGCGATCATTACACATTTGATGGGTTTTGCACCTTTTGTCAATAGGGCTTGTTCCCAAACATTATTGTCTTACATGAATTTATACTCTTCGTTCATTACATCAATCCACATTTGAGAATTAAGATCTTACATGACTTGACCAATGTTGATTGTATCATTGTCCACCTTACCTTTTGCTCTATCATATTCATAAAGAATCACAATGTAGTCATTTGTAATTGCTTTTCTCCTTCCTCTTATGGATTTACATAATGGAGGTGGTTGTTGAGTTAGTTCCATATGAATCTTTACTTGATCTTCCATCGGAAGAATTACTTAATTTGTTCAATATTGTCCTGTTGAGATTCTTGAATTACTTCTTGAACAACAATAAGTATAAGAACCAATATATAGTTAGAAGCATCTATAGGAATTGGTTCAGTAACTGAAGCCAATTCTTCCTCTAAGATAATGTTTCTATCCTTATTGCTCCCCCCATTCTCTATATCTTCAAAACACCATGTTGTTCCCATCTCAAAGATAGTCTAAAGCATAGGGTCATAGAACTTGTAACCCCTAGAATGTTTAGAGTATCCAATAAAGTAATTGCTAATTGTTTTAGACTCTAGCTTCTTTTCTTGAGGCTTATAAGGTCGTGTTTCAGTTGAGCATTCCCAAATAAGAAAATGCTTAAGACTAGGTTTGTGGCTTGTCTAAAGCTCATAAGATGTTTTAGCAGTTGTTTTAATTAGCACTCTATTTAAAATATAAGATGTTGTCTTAATTGCTTCTCTTTAGAGTGACTCTAGCAAGGTAGGATGATCGATCATACTCCTCATCATGTCCTAGAGAGTTTGGTTTTGCCTCTCAACTACACCATTCATGCTAGATGACCCTAGCATTGTGTATTAAGGGACCATTCTCGATTCCTCAAGGAATTTAGCAAATGGTCCTGTACGTTGCTCACTTGAACATCATATTTGCCGTAGTATTCACCATTATGATTAAATCTAATGCTTTTAATTCTTTTGTTGAGTTGATTCTCAAATTCAACCTTAAAAATTTTAAACATGTCTAAGACTTGTGACTTTTCATGAATTAAATATATATACCCATACTTGGAGTAGTCATCTATGAATGATACAAAGTGTTGTTGGCTATTCCATGAAGGCTTGGGAAATGGTCCAAAAAAGTCTGTATGTATCAATTCCAGGACATTTGAACATCTTTGGGGACCTGCTACCTTAGTATTGGTTTGTTTCCTTTGATATAATCAATACAAACATTTAAGTTTGTAAAATCTATATCATTTAAAATTCTATTGGACACAAGTCATTCAATTCTTAGTTGAGAAATGTGACCTAATCACTTATGCCATAATGACACAAAATTTTCTTGGTTAATTTTACGCATAGCATGACGTGATGACATATGTAATGTTTCTTGATAAGATGCAACTGTCTCAAGTAAATATAAAGTATCATAATACATTAGAGAACTAGATCCAATAATATTTGAATTAATAGATACTACTACCTTATTATTTCCAAATGAACAAAAGTAACAAGATTTGTCCAATGCAGAGACAGAAACCAAATTCCTTCTAAAAGACAGAATAATGAAAGTATATATTAAGTCCAAAAAGTGACTAGTTCCTAATAATAATTGAAAATGACTGACTACTTCTACTGCTACTGACTTGCCATCTCCCACATAAATGCATCTTTCAACATCAATTAGCTTTTGATAGCTCATGCAACCTTGCATAGAAACATTTATGTGAACAGTAGCACTAAAATCTAACCACCAAGTGTTCCTAACTAGATACTGAAGCTAAATTAACCTCATAACAAACCAAACAAATGAGTAAGTTTCTTTTCTTGAGTAGCTAAATTATTCTTTTCTTGAGTAGGTTTCTTCTAGTCAGGGCCTTTAGCAGCCTTAGATTTCTTTCTCTTTTTGCCTTTTCCCTTAGAGGTGGATGCAATTTTAGCGCTTCAAGTGCTATCATGTTTAAGTCTCTCCTTCTCTTGAACAAGGTAAGAAATGAGCTCATTTAGAGTCCATTTCTCCTTCTGATAGTTATAACAAACTTTGAAATGATTATAATGCATGTGGTGAGAGAGTTTAAACCTAGATGCACCAGTAGATCTTCACTTAGTGTAACCTTGCGTTCCTTAAGCTTAGCAACTATATGAGACATTTTCATAATATATTCTCTAATATTTCCTTTACCTTATATACTTTATGGAAATTAAGTGTTACAAAAGCATGCTTGTTTCCACCTTATCACTTTTTGAAAAGTGTTTCTCAATTTCACCAAGGAAAACTTTAGCATTGGTGATCTCTTCAGTCACCACACCTTTAAAGATTATGGAATGGCACGTTTAATGATCATCAAACACATGTGGTTTGAGTGATCCCAATTCTCAAAGTACTTCTTTTCATTAGAGGAACTTGCATATGTAAGAGAGGGTTGCTCAACCCTTAATGCAAGGCCTAGATCCATGTAGCCCAACATGTTGTCTTTCCATTCTTTAAAATTTGTTCTTCTCAAAATGGGAACAGAATTCAAATTCATAGATATTGATAAAACAACAGCTAAAAGAAAAAAATACATTACAATAGATCATACTCACAACAAAAATAAATTGATAGGAAATACATTCAAATAATTAATACCCGTGTCAAGATATGATATACCATTAATATTAAGTCTTTAGATAATAATATAAATTGCAAGTGGTAATCTTGTTGCAATAATCAAATATTGAAAATAATTATTGCCAAATAATAAATAATCTTGTGATTAAAATATTATTTGCATGTAAAATTTATAATTGTCACACATTTATCATTACATTTGCATGCAAAATTCGGTCAAGTATATACTTTCCTTTGGGTTGATTAAAATCCCACACACATAAGTATTCCATTAATTTTTTTAAAAATAATTCACAAGGGGAGTCACTTTAGTGACATTCATGTGACAATTAAATTACAAAAAATAATAGATAAACTTTGGGGAATTAAAATTAAATTAATGCTTTATATAATTATTTGAACTTCATTACTATTTCTTAAAAAAATACATATACTATATTTATATATATCAAGTTGCCTGTAAAAAAAATATAATAATAATAAAAGGTGCTTGCCATAACTTAATACTTCCACGGGCTGCAACGAGAAATAGGCACTAATATGTGTGCGTATTAATTTTTTTTTATATATAACAAAGATAATATAATATATAAAACATAACGGTCCATTTTTTTAAAACTAGAATTGCAAAACCAAAAAAAAAAAATAATCTTCATCCATTTGACCGAAAATCAATCTTTTGGGGGCCCTACCTTTTGAAAATTTCCAATGGTAGAATCCGTGTGCGCACATCGGCAATTGCATCTTAATTCCTGACTTTCAATCAAAATTTTTTAATGAGGCCCATCCATTTATTATATCAACCTTATTGTTTTATGAAAAATGGCACTTAAGTATCACTGTGTGATATTTATACTGCATAAGAATTAAATGATTTGTTGTTTGCGCTACAGTCTTCTGGTCCTTCTTTGATATTAATTTCATAAGCAAAATGACAAAATTGCCCATTAAGTAATTAAAAAACCAAAAAAAAAATCCCGCCGTCACCAATGTCGATTGTTGGATCACTACCGGTAGCAAGTTCACCAAAGCTCCAACGCCCATGACATTTTATTTCAGAGAAATCCCTTGGCCACTTGAAAAGGATGGTGGCCACTAGGCCATCAAGTTATTTAATAACATATAAAAAAAATATAAATAGTAAACCAAGCTTCTAACCACTTTCATGTAATAACATAATGATGTATTGTTAATTTCTGAATAGAACTTATTATTTTACAAATGTCACTTATTAATATGACATGGACAATTATAAATTGAGGATTTTAAAACTTTACTCATTTTAATTGTTAAATGTCTCGATGTATTGTTGTTAATCACAAATAGCTTGTAGTCAAAACCAAATGAATATCTGTTAATGAATGACTAACATATACAATTAAATATTTTTTATTAATTTTTCTAACTTATTAAAACCTTTTTACGTGGCCAAGGGTCATGGGACCAAACCCTCCCTTGGCCACTTAAAACAATTTCATTGAAATAAAATGTCGTTGGTGCCAAAGCTCTAGTGAGCTCTGTTGGCAGCAGGGACTCCAACGACCTCACCATTGGTGGTGGTCCGATGGCTAGCGCTGGCGACGATGAGATTTCTTTTTCTTTTGTTTTTTAATTACTTGAGGGGTAATTCTATCATTTTGCTTATGGAAGTAATATCAAAGAAGGACTAAAGGATTGTAGCTTAAATAGCAAATCATTTGGCCCTCATGCAATATAAATATCACACAATGGTCCTTGGATGCTATTTTCCCTTATTTTATCTATTGAGATAGCCTTCATCTTTCTCATTTTGGTTCTAGAGAAGAGAATCACCAGCCATGACCTAGACTTCATACTTATAGATAGAGAAAATAAAAAATCAATACTTATCACCTTGTAATTTCCAAAAATTTCAATTTGCCAATCAGTTCAGTTTATTAAGATCTTCATGGATCAATAAAGAGAATTAGATTTATTTTTCTAAAAGAATGCCTTACCATAACATGCTTCCTCCGTGAAACCAAACCTTAAGGGTG